AATGTTCAGAAACCAACAACGGTGAAAAATTCTTTACAGTTTTGATATTGTCACCAATACATGTAGTTGACCATGTGCATATTTTCCCGACATATATCTTCACCTTGTTGCCCGACACCTTATCAGTGACCCTGATAGTGATCCTGGGCGCTGGACCATATTTCAATAGGTCGATAACATCAGCTGATGAGAGCTCATCCCCTGAGAGCAACGAGTAGACCCAACAGGACCAGTCCAGACCGGCCCTCCCCCCTCACCCTCCGATGGTATGATTGCAGTGTAGAGCTCCAGGCCTTTACTCTCAAATGCTTTACCAATCTCTGCCTTGGAAATCATCGTATCAGGTTGGATTCTAAGCCACGGATTGACGGCGACTAAAAGTGCCCTTCTACTGTTTACTTCTTTCCTCCTTTACTGAGGGCGCTCGCAATGAGATTATCAACACATACGCTCGATCGGTTTCCCGAGGCACCGACAACCTCCTCATGGGAACTCTCTAGACCCTTTATGTATCTAAGACGCTTCACATGTGACAAATTTTAATACTTTTTTGACATTTTTTTGTGATGGAGTATCCAGAACGGAAAAAAGGGAACAGGAAAGGCTAAACGATAGAAAATCTCCCCTAGTTTCGAAAATGGATTCGGAAACTTACTTCTGGAAATAGAACCTGCATTGCTTGGCATCAAGAAAGTCGTGCTTGCCCAGAGCCCTCCCCATAGAGGCCTGAAAACTGCCATACCTGCTGAGTTCAGTTGAAACGCTCCTACCTCTAGAACGGGTTTCCACACTTGATGCGGCTTGTACATGCTAATAACTCTTACTCGTAGGTCTGACTCGATCGAGGACTTCAATGCTAATTCAAAGAGCTGTTGATAAAAACGACTCCACACTACTACTTCTACCTTCCACTGAAGTGGCCGGCTTAGTTCGAGGAGCTGACTTAGCCGTTTTCGCTGTAATGGCGTGTGTTTGGAGCTCCTCCTTGCCTTGACTGATGCTTGTGATAATAACATCACCTGCCCAGGAAAAAGCGCTATCTTCCCTCAGCTGAGCTCGCGAGTTTTCTCACTTATTATTGAGGTTCGCACACGAATGCGAACAGAAGTGTACAAGAATTATTAAGAATTTCTCAGCATTTTTCCAAAATTTTCAAAAAAGTCACCAACACACGTAGTTGACCATAATTATATCCCCCCACCTCTCCTGTCCTTCGTTTTGAGTATCCCCTCCTTTTCCAGCTCCTTCAAGAGCTTACCAACTTTCCGCCAACTCGTCCTCTTAATATCCACCCGAATCTGCGACTCATCTTTAAGCTCAGGCCCGAGCTCTTCTAACCTAGAACAGCATCCTTGCCCCCAGAATGACCAGGCAGGATTCCCTGGTCGGTGTTGGAGGAATATATGTTCGCCCTCCTCAGCTGAGCTCAGGAATTTCCCAAACTTCCTCAGAATTTTCGTATTGTAGTTGATCATGTGCATATTTTCGCAAACTGTCCTTGGACACTACCGTGAGATGAGCTCCGGGCGCTTCCGTAAATTCGCACAAGATTTCTGCGCATCGGAATAGAGCACAGCTGCTTGTATAGGTAGCGATGTCTTATCAGCGTTGGCTAACACTTCAATAACGGCGTATCTTGAGGATGCTCCAGTAAGATACAGAATAGGCCCAACATGCGTACACGAGCTCACCTAACCAACTCGTCGTATTGTGCCTGACTCATTGGCTCGCTCTCCGTCATCAAAACTTCCGGTGCTTGGTGACACTCACTCGGTGCCTGGCATACGAGTGACCAACATAGTGGTATCGCCATATCACAAAGCCCACCTCAGGAGAGGCAGTTTCTGCCTCCTCTCCTCCCAGAATATTCTCTACTGGCGGCCGGCCCTCAGCGGGAGGAGGCATCAAGCGCCCCTTAGGACCCATTTGGAAGATTTGGTCGCCGACACTGTGGATGACCTAAGGCAACAACTTGATAGGGAAAGTCTTACTCTCGAGACTAAGACAGAAGTATTCAAGTTTTCCCCCTCATCACCTCAACAGCCTTGCCGACTACTCCCATAGGAGCACTCTCAGCCGCATTCAACTGAGTGCTGCTCAACACTGATCGCCCTATAGGAAGCACTGGTGTACTATTGATGAAAACTACGTCCTTACCGATAGCCACGTAAGGGCCATTATCATCAACTCTAACAGCACATACCACACCAGCATCGAAAGGCTCT